TACTTATTATTGTCAGTACTAAACAGTAAATTAACATAAAGTGTAGTGCAAGTTTAATAAACATGCCCTAAATCTCCTTTTTATTGCATTGTAATTTGATAAAATGATGGTTTTTAGACTAGATTTACAATCGTTAGCGTCACTGAAGTGAGAGTTGGAGATTGGTCATATAGCACATGAAGAGTTAACACATGTTTAATTTTTTACAGAACTCCACAAATACACAAACTTCATTTTGACGGTTATAATCTCCCCAGACTTTATATATATTTTATTCCCCAAGTTGATGTTCATTGAGTCGCTGCATCTTGTTTCTGCTTTATGCTAAGTTAAAGAGTTGGTTTATTAGTGTAAATGACTACGTTCTTTGAATTACCTCATCAGTAAGATTAATTTATTTCCCTTTAATTAGGTCCCTGTGGCTAAGACTGGCTGGTAGCATTAGCATGTCCTGTATGGAAAGTGGAGCTTGGAGACTTTGTACAGGCTTCAGTCACATTTATGTGTCCACAGAAGCAGCATCAAACCGACACGTAGGCAAGCAATAATTAATGGCGTTGAATAATTCAAACACAAATTCCTTTTGAAATAAGATGAATATCGGCACCTTTTAATGATACTGTGATATGGACAAGAAGTCGCCGTATTTCATAAAAGTAGGTGGTCACGGAAGAATTGTTCCTTTTTTCATTAACTTAGTTGAGGTCTGAGATTTGGACAAGATTCTCCTTCAAAATGCAGTGGTCTTCTTTCAGAACAATTTTTCTCAACATGAATTTTGTTGATGTTCTGTTCCAGAAATCTAGCGAAATTATTTTTGATTTGCAGCAAGAAAAAGAAAGCAATCCTGCATTAAAGAAATAGAAATATTATGAAATCTTTGGTGTTGAGACTTAGTATAAGGTACTAGCCTGGAGCAAGCTTGCAGATTAGAAAGTGAGAGTTAAGTTAAACTTTTGATGTGCATACTAGTTCCAGGATGGTGCCTCACAAAGTTTCAAACTGTTGGAACATCCAGACAACAAGCATTTTCTAGATGGGTTTTTGCAATAGCATTCTCTATATTCGTTCAGTACGTGTTTCATTTAATTTATCATAATTTGTTATAGAACATTTGTGCTTTACCAGAGTGGAGTCCATGGTTCTAATTCAGCTTCAAGATGGCTTCACTTTTCGAGTTACTCCAGACACTGAGCAAAGGGGAGAGGCAATTGGAACCTTAAAATGCACCTTTATTATGGAAGGAAGAAAAACTAAATGCTATAAAGTGTGCTCTGCAGGATTTAGAAGTTGTATTACAAACAGGGTGACAAATGGAAGCTCGATTAAAAATGTCAGGTGGGGGCTGGTATAGGCAGGATTTCAGCCACACAGTGTTCTTAATGCCCCCTCCTGTCCAGACAGTTCTGCACACTAAATTAATAAAATCAACACCATAGTTAATTTGCCTATTTGGTACCTAAAACAACTGCAACTACACATAACTATTGATGTGAAACATTAGCAGTCAAAAATATACATATATATAATTAACACAGTATACACATATAATACACACAGACATATACACAGTGTGATATATATATATATATATATACATATATTTATATATATATATATATATATATATACACACAATGGGCAAAAATAGATACATGTATACATATGTCAGAACTTCATCTACTTCCCCAGGAGGATTCATATGAGACAGGGGCTGACAGTCTCTCTCTCAACTTCCCCCCACACTTCTGCTGTCCCTAGAGCCCTTTACTTTTCGTCATATATGGAAACAGAATTCCTATGAATGCAGATGCCAGCTGGGAATTGAAGGCAAACTTTCTTCACGTGTTCTTTGATTATTGGTATTATTATTGCTATTATTATTATTATTATTACTGTTCAGAATGTATATAGCACCAACAGTTTGCACAACGCATTACAAAGTAAACAGAGACAGTACAGTTACAATACAATTTAATAGAAAAGGAAGGCCCTGCTTGTAAAAGCTTATATCCTAAAAGGGAAGGTCCAGGTAACACAAAGGGTAATAACTGCAAAGAGTGAACTGATAGAGAAAATAGAAGTACAGTTTTTAGGTGGAGGCTTTTAGGCTTCCCTAAACAGATGCATTTTTAGGGATTGCCTAAATGTGGACAGAGACGTTGATAGCTGGATAAGTTTAGGTTGGAAGTTCTAGAGCTCCAGTGGCTCTGGAGAAATCCTGAAGGAGAACACTGGAGAAGGTGACAAGGGAGCTAGAGAAGAGGAGTCCTTGAGAGTTGCGTAGAGGACAGTTATGTTATGTGGGCAGAGTAGTGGGGAACTAGTGAGGGGTGGTGGTAACTGACATGGATGAGTCTAGCAGTGGCATTCTTGATTGAGTACAGAGGGGATAGCCTATGTAAAGGTAGGCCAATGAGAAGGGAGGCAAGAGATAACCAGGAAGTGAATTAGTAGCTTTGTTGTGTCATTTGTTAAGAAGGAGAAAATTTTGGAAATGTTATGAAGGTAAGATGGTCTAAAAATGAGGTAAATGTCCAATATTACTACTAACAACCTGGTGGTAAGATTTGGAAATTGATTGGATTTAGGACCTGAAAGAGAGGTCAGAGTCTAGTATTACACCAAGCATCCTAGCATGAGTATAGTGACTGATAGTTGTGCTATTGACCCCAATGGAAAGGCGGGGGGGGATATTATGAGCTCGGTTTTTGAAAGATTACATTTGGGGAAGCGGTGTGACATCCATTTTGATATGTCAGTTAGTGAATTGTTGATGTGTGAGGAGAGTGAAGGGTTAAGATGAGGAGTAGAGAGATAGATTTGGATGTCTTCAGCATAGAAATGGTATTAGAAGCCATAAGAGGTTATCAACTGGCCAAAGGTAGGGGTGTAGATGGAGAATAAGAGGGTCTTGAATAAAGTCAGAGTTGCATGTTACACTAAATGTGCTCTGGGCTAGGTAGGAGGAAAACCAGGAAATAGCAAAGTTTCTGAAGACAAGAAAGTGGAGTTTTTTTAATAGGAGCAGGTGTTTAACTGCATCAAAGGTGGCAGAAAGGTCTTGTTTGAGTTTGAGTACTGCCATTGGTTTTGGCAGTTAGCATGTTGTTAGTAAGCTTTCGGAGGGCAGTCCCAGTGGAGTTTTCTGGGTGGAAGCCAGACTGTAAGGGTCAAGAAGGTTGTTATCGATGAGGTAACAACTCACACAGTTGTAGACTCAGTATTTGAGAAGTTTAGAGGTAAACAGGAGCAAGGAGATGGGTTTTAACTGGTGAGCTCCACTGAGGGCTGTTTAAGTATGAGGTGACAGTGCATGTTTTAGAGGGGTAAAGAAAATGTAAGTAGAGAGAGAGATTGAAGATGTGAGTTAGGGAACACAGAATAAAGCAAGAGGATGATAATAATAGTTGTGAAGGATTAAATGTGAGGGAGTAGTTGTAATGGGGTCCAGGGGTCACATGACAGAGATACTGAGAGAATGTAGGTACCAATACGGGGTGTAGTAAAGACCTAGCATATAAAAGTAAATAATATCTGCGATAGGTCTAGCAATATTAATAGTAAAATCCGCATGTTCCTAACCCCAGAAACCACTAAACAGCTCATCCACTCCCTCCTCATATCACGACTGGACTACTGCAACTCCCTCCAGACTGACCTGCCTCGCCACAGGTTATCCCCGCTTCAGTCGATCCTGAATACGGCTGCCAGACTTATTCACCTTACCAACCGCTCCGTTTCCGCCACCCCCCTCTGCCAATCCCTCCACTGGCTTCTGATTGCGCAACGGATCAAATTCAAAATCCTAACACTGACGTACAAAGCTGTCCATCATACTGCCCCGAACTACATCACTGACCTAATATCCAAGTACCACCCAACACGCACACTCCGCTCCTCACAAGACCTCCTTCTCTCTAGTTCCCTGGTCTCCTCCTCCCACCTCCTCCACTCCTCCTACCACCCCATCCCCCACAGCTATCTCCTCCTGTACCACTATCCCCTCCCTCCTAGATTGTAAGCTCGAATGAGCAGGGCCCTCGAACCCCTCGTGTATCACATTGTATTGTTATTGTACTGTCGCATGTTCTGTCTCCCTTTGTAATGTACAGCACTGAGGGAACTGTTGGCGCTTTATAAATACTGTATAATAATAAATAATAATAATAAACAAGCAGCTGAAAAATTGTGATATCAAATAAAAACCTAAAAATAAAAAACAGCAGCACTAAAAAATGATTGCAAACAAACATATATGAATAAAAAGAAGAAACAATGTTCACATACATGTAAACAAAATAATCAGTCCAAATAAAGTGGTAAACTAACAAATAAAGTGATTATTCAAATCCTATTTCTGTATATATATTGTAAGTCAATGTTTGATAATGAACAAGAAGTGATTAGCAAGTCCACTTAACCTCCCTGGCGGTATGATTATTTCAGATTTTTGGTGCTGAAAGCGAAACCACTATTTTGCATTGAAATTTGGCGTTTTATATTGTAGGCCTGTAATTCTTAGGAATAACTCACTGAAATCTGTCCGAACAAGAGTCTAGTAAACATCCCTGGTAGGATAAAACGTGAAACACGAAATCATGAATTATAATTTAATAAATAATCATAAAAAATAATAATATAATAATAATAAATTTAATTAAATAATAAAATCAAACCAAAAACACTGAAATTTGAAATATAGTTCGCACATCACTGAGCAAAATCGTTTTCAGTGTCTGATGACGAATTTCCCCACGAATCATTATCACAGAATTCTGCAAGTAGTTCTAATTTACTATCACTGTTCTCTTGCCGGTCTAAAACCGCTTTTGACCTAAAGGAACGCTTTTGGACGCCATGGACGTTTCTCAGTTTCCAGGCAGAAAGAACAGTAAAAATGCAGGCAGGGCACAGGACAAAGCACTAGGGACAAAATGTATGTGAAATGGCTTGATACAGTAATGTTTTACTATGTGATTTTAGTGATTTTTTTGTGAATGTCACTTTTTGTCATTTTTAAATTTCCTGCCGTTCCGTCCCCCATACGTCCCGACGCTCGCAGAGGACGGAACCCAGATGACAGATGCCGGCATTCACCGGATCACATTGCCGGGGACACTGCAGGAGGGACATCGCGGGAGCGCAGGACAAGGTAAGTGATCGAGGGGTTACCGCTTGTGGTACTGAATCTTTACCACGAGCTACACTCGGGAATACCGCCAGGGAGGCTACTATGTGATGATCCAATCTTCCCGATGAGAGTGCTTAATCATACATGTTGCAATGTGATCCACAAACAGGAAAGCCACCACCAAGTGCAATAAAACAGGAGCCTCTTACCAGAAGTGATTGACCATAAGATTCTAAATGGTCAAAGCACACTTGATGTAATTAACCATTGATCTTCCATTCCTCCATCTCGGCGCTCACACCGGCATCAGTGCACAAGAAACCATAGGATATTATAAAATATCTCCAGAGTGAAGTCCATTTTTTTTTAACCTCCCTGGCGGCATTCCTGAGTGTAGCTCGGGGTAAAGTTTCAGTACCACAAGCGGTAACTCCAAGCTACACTCGGGCTTACCATGCAGCGCTGCTCCGGGATCTGTTCTTCTCTTACCTTGTCCTGTGCTCCCACGATGTCCCTCCTGCAGTGTCCCCTGTAATGTCCTCCGGCGGATGCCGGCATCTGTCATCTGGGTTCTGTCCCCTGCGACGTCGGGACATATGGGGATGGAACGGCAGTAAATTTGAAAATGACAAAGTGACATTCACTAAATTCACTAAAATCACATAGTAAAACATTACTGTATCAAAGCATTTTACATACATTTTGTCCCTAGTGCTTTGTCCTGTGCCCTGCCTGCATTTTTATTGTTATTTCTGCCTGGAAACTGAGAAATGTCCATGGCGTCCAAAAAGCGTCCCTTTAGGTCAAAATCGGTTTTAGACCAGCTAGAGAACAGCGATAGTAAATTAGAACTTCTTGCAGAATTGAGTCATAATGATTTGTGGGGAAATTCATCATCAGACACTGAAAACGATTTTGCGACTTTGCTCAGTGATGTGCGAACTTGGCGCTATATTTCAAATTTCAGTGTTTTTGGTTTTATCATATTATTGAATTAAATTTATTATTATATTATTATTTTTTATGATTATTTATTAAATTATAATTTATGATTTCGTGTTTCAAATTTTAACATACCCGGGATGTTTACTAGACTCTTGTTTGGACAGATTTCAGTGAGTTATTCCTAAAAATTACAGGCCTACAATAAAAAAAATACATATTTCCATGCAAAAAAAGTACTGCTTTGAGCACAGAAATATGGACATAATCAGACCGCTAGGGAGGTTAAACGTATTGGTTTATTAAAAGGTAAGACTCAATCCATTGATTGATTCCAATAGGAAAAAGCAATAACATAAAATAGGATAAATTGATAGGCTGATCACTAAAAAGATGATAAAAACGGCAACTTAGAATGGCGTCAAAGCGTGATGTTGTCAAGTACATATATATATGTTTGTTTGCAATAATTTTCTAGCACTGCTGTTCTGTATTTTTTACTAAAGACCTATCTGCATCCACCAACTCCCACTGTGGTTGTAATAGTTCCAGAGTAAGTTCATGCAAAGCCTTAATGCCATCTGCCCCTAACGTGTTCATAGAAGTGTCCATAGGAATTTATATAGAACACCTAGTAAAGCTTGTCTTGCAAATGAGAACTCACTAAAAGATTTACCTTCTTAAGAGAAAGTTTCAGTCAAATAATCACCCCAATTAGTGAAACCACTTTGGGGTGGAATTACCCTTTAAAGGTCATTTTTTGGCACACAATTTAAAATTGTGTGGCCGCTATTAGAACTGTTTTTTAAACCTATGACCTAATGCAATGCATATTATCATGTTACCGATTTCTACAATGATGATTAGACAAACGGTTACATTTTATGTTTTCTTAAACATGACATGAAAGCAGGAAACATTTGACAAACTTTAGAAGAAAGCAAAAGAAATGTTAATAAAAATTACGACTGGTTTCTTGGCTGCATGCCCAGCTATAAATATAATATATACCTTCTGTAGGAGAAATTGTTAAAAATTATCAAAATCTAGAGGAGTTTACAGCATAATTTAATAGATAGAAAGGTTAATCTGGGGGATGTTCCAAGTCTGTTTCTTGATTTCAGCTAATGCTCCATATGAATTCTGTATGTTTTCTACAGTATATTGAGAATGAAGTTCTGATGGCAGTGGTTGTAACATATTAAATGTGTGAACCAATAAAAGAGGCACAAAAGAGTAAATTTTGCATTAAGCAAATTAACTTCCCTTTAGTTTTCTCAAGATGACTTTTATGTAATTTAATAAGGTAATGAAAAGTACAATGAGGCTGTGTGCAGCTTAGTAACCCTCAGAATTCAGTCAGATTTTAGATTCATCTAGCCAGGTCATCTAGAAGAGGTATGACTAGTGACTGTAGGTCAGTATACACGCTCTCATTTATATTTCTACAAAGTAAGGGAATATACCAAGGCTATGATCTAAACCAAATCACTAAATTCTCACATACTGTATGTTTTAACATTATTAAGTGAACCTTGTAGTTGACAACACATAATAGCTATATAGTCTAAAATTAACCAAAAAATTCCAGTGTTGGGCACAATAACATTTAGGGGGGAATTCAGCTTCAACTATGCTTACAGCCCCCTCAAAGGTGAATGCTGAAGGTCTCAAAGGCCCCAGCTCAAAAGTCACATTCACAAATACATACTCCCAGACTTCTTTTTTTACATGGCCAGGCGGACAGGGAGTTAGAGAGATGACTGTAGTGCTAACGTCTATGGGACCTGCAGCACTTACAACAGAGCCGGCGAGAGCCATAATTCCAGCATAAAAAAGCAGATTTGACTAATGCAGAAGAAAGCTTGAATGACAGAGGTATTGTCTGAGGTTAAGGAATATATAAATGGGTAAACCCTGGTATGTTTATTGTGCCTGAAGTTGAACTTTCATACAGCAACCTGGACAAGTTCCCTACACCATTGGTGTATAGAATGCTTCCTGAATTCTTTCTTCTGTGAGTGAATAACTGATTTTCTTCTGTGATTGGCTAGATGATTTTCTAGAAGCCTGTACTAAGACAAATGTCAAATTTCAGGTATCTCTTACACTAATGATTTCATTAATGATAAGTTATTATCTAAGGCCCATCCACTACTATTATGACTATTATGATACCGACACTTTCTCATTAGAACACTAAAGGGTTTTTTTAATAAATGCTTTCACATAATATTCATCCATTTTTCAAACTAAAACTGAGAAAATTTGTGAATTTGAGGTGAAAGTTGTGAAAATCTTGTTTTGAAAATATTTATAACTATACCCCTAATACTGAACAGAGTGGGTATAATAAAGGCTGACCTTTCCATTTAGACATTAGTTTGACAAGGGGATTTTTGAAAAAAGGTATTTTCATCAGAACAGAGAAAGGCAATGGAAAAATCTAAAATCTACACACTTTGAGTTTGATTGAGTAGCTGAACATATAGGGAAGATCTTTAAATGATCTTGACGAATCCAGACAACAGATTCTTTCCCTAAAACTCTAAAAATGTTGTCTTTGACTTGTCAGAGAAAGCTTGAGCTCAATATCCATGGAGCAGAAGCAACAATTTCTATTAGCAGCAGACGTTTCCCACCATGCTTAAAAAATGTATTGACAGAGAGCAAGCACTTTCATCACAATCAAGATTTCATTATCACTCCATTTTAAACCCATACTTTTCAACTCCATACTCTTCATAGTTACTTATTGCTAATGATGCTTGGATCAGTCAGAACATCTTTTGCCAGCTTTCCCCAACAAACCTAAACTCTCTGATGTTACAAACGTGAAAAGAGAAGTTTAACTGCTACTTATATCAGAGACAAGTATCAAAATTGTATAAAAAGAAGGGCTTTTTTTTAATATATAATTTAACATAATGAAGCCTAGGTTGCATTCCAAGGCCAGGTTAAAAAATGTCACCTGCATATTTAATAGGCTGTTACTGTAGGGCACAGCAGAACTGTATTCCACATATTTAGTGTGCAATAATTTAGCCTGTCGCCAATATGTCCCCTTTGCTTGGGCTGCGATAATCCAAGCATGGTAATCAGCCATTTGGCATGAGACAGGAATGCTGAGAGCCAAGATCAATTCACACATGTTGCTCTTGACCACAAGGCTGTAGACATGCTGACTTTACAATCCAGTCAGGCTTATAGTTTCCTTTACTTTAATCATTATCTGATGTTTAGAGCTATTCCAGCTGCTTCACGTGGATGTAATTTAAAAGTCCGCACTTACAAGGAAGACAGGAAAATATTTCCTCTGTACTTCACAGATTTAGATATATATAATTAGCTTCCAGTGAGGTATGGCATGCATTAAAATTCATTATTTACTGGATTAATTTGTCATATGGTTCACCCAGAATAAAATTAATGCAGGTACAGGGAGTGGTGAAGTATAGCCATAAGAGATTGTATGGGGTTTAGAGGTAGAGGAAATGTGGTACAGTATGTCACTCTAACCCTTCTCCCACCCCTATGATTCCACTTACCAAGACAATGCTGATATTACCAGGTGTATGCATAGAACTGGTTTACGTCTATGTGGCTGTATGCTACAAAGAATCAGTCATGATTGGGTTTATGAAGTAATCTGGATATAAAGTCTAAAGCCATCATTTTGTGCAGATGTACTTATGGAAGATTTATGTATCCTTCGTTATTTAGCTTTATTTACTTTGTTGAACAACCTTCAAGCAAGCAGTGTGTGAGGTCAGCCAGCTCCTATGATTAAGCTTGCGTTGGGGGCATGGCTTGGCTGGAGCCCAGGCGGAGACTGACACATACTCTTTCACAGTGGGTTTTCTACGATGTGCGGCTTATCTCACTTTGCTTTTCTTTTCTTGCCACACATTGACATTTGGTGGTGAGACAAGCTCCTGGCTGGCACTCACAGCGATTGGCTGTGAGGGCTAGAACCCTTTTGAGCCTGAGCGGCACCCACATTTTTGCATTTGGTTCTAAGGTCAGCCAGTTGACAGGGCAGGAACTGTCGGACTCCAATTGACCTTTTACCATTTACTCAAGTGGAAGAGTCCCAGACAAAGGTAATAAAGCTAAATAAGGAACCAAATGCATTTTTCAATAAGTAAGACTGCAGAATTATACTTTAAAAGTGAATATTTAGATTGGGTATTGGTTTTATGCACATATCATACCTGTGGGACTGCTGTGGATGCAGAGAATTAGGCTCTATTCACATCTGAGCGTAGCGTTTTTCGGTGTTTTTAGCACGATTTTTCGTGCATATTTTACTGCAATTTTTGCACATTTTTATACAGCGTTTTTAGCCGTTTTTGAGCCTTGGCAATTTTTATTAGCCAATAGAAAAAAATGGGCCGCCGAGTCCCTAACAACCTATGAGCAATCAGCTGTCAGCGGGGTTCTCCACTGACAGCTGAATATGAAAAAAAAAGCCAGCAATTACAAAATAATGCAAAACAATTATGTGGGGT